ATTCGAACCCGCCACCTTAGGTGTACGTGGCTGGCGCCTTAGCCGGTTGAGCTATAGGCGCCGAGCCCCAATTGTGGTTTTTGATATTCTTTTTCAGTTAACAAGTATTAAGCTAAGTGAATTAACCTGTATAAAAATATTGATCTGTTCCTATAGCTGTATTATAAGCACTGTATTTCTAAGATTCTAAGATGAACTTCTAACATATTTTAACATTTTTATAATCTGTATATGTCTTACAATTCTTATAATTCAGTATTTAATGTATTTAAGTGTATATTCAGAGAACTTACATTTTTTTAGTCCTAAAAAGTTAAATGAATTCTTCATTTATTACTCTTATGGCACCTATGTCATAGTGCTTCTTGTGATAGATGGCAACTATTTACATGTGTCTCCTACTTGATTTAGTTTTTAAGCTTTCTTAGGGCTCATTTAATATTAAAAGTACTTGGCACACAATGTTTCAAGAAGTCACCAGTGCTTCTGTTACAATTTTGCAGTAATGTCAGTACCAAAGCCTGTTAATGATGGGAATCTGAATGTTTGGATTACATTTCATTTCTATTCAAAGAAACTGAGGCTTAGAGAGATTAATTTATCTACAGTCACACAACTAGTAATTCAAATGCAGATCTGTCCATATCCAGAGACAGAGCACTTAACTGCTTTCTTTATTACCTTCCTTACCATCAGATCTAATCTCATTCTAACATATGAAAGGATTAAGATCCACAGAGCTAAAGCTTATTACAGGTTGGGGTTCCCTTCCTGTCTGCTTACTACATCTGCTTTCTTACTGTACTTGTCCTATTTAAATATTGGGGTATATATGTTGCAAAAACAGGTTTTTTAAAACCTGAGATATAAATATGAGTCATTATTTATGATTACTTGAGATAATGTGCAGGGATATAAAAACAGAGGACAAATTGTGACTTGATCTATTGTAAGCCTTATACTTTCATAACCATAACTATTATCCCTTAGTATCCATGGGGGGATTGGTTCTAGTACCTCCCCACACCCAGGATACTAAAATCCCTGGTGCTCAACTTCCTTTTATACTATGGGATAACATTTTCATATAACCTATGCACATCTTCCTTTATACTTTAAATCATCTCTAGATTACTTACACAGGCCAAGCACAATGGCTCATGCCTATAATCTTAGCACTTTGGGAGGCTAAGGCAGGAGGATCACTTGAGGCCAGGATTTTGAGACTAGACTGAGCAACACAATAAGACCCTATCTTTACAAAAAAAAATGTTTTTAATTAGCAAGCATTATGACACATGCCTGTAGTCCCATCTACTTGGATGGCTGAGACAGGTGAATCTTTGAGCCCAGGAGTTTGAGCTTGCAATAAGCTATGATGATACTACTTAACTCTAGCCCATACAATACATTGAAACCCTTTTGGGGGGCGGGGGGGCACATAATACAATGTGAATGCTATGTAAGTAGTTATTTAGGAAATAATGACAAGAATAAGGTCTGAACATGTTTAGTAGAATTACAACCATCCTTTTTGTGTTTTGTTTTTTTGTTTTATTTATTAGAGACAGAGTTTCACTCTGTTGCTGAGGCTGTCCTCAAACTTTTAGGCTCAAGCGATCCTTCCACCTCACACCTTCAACCCTCTTGTACCCTAGGAACTCCCTAGGAACTGGGACTACAGGCACATATCACCATGCCCAGCTCTGCAGTCATCTTTTTTCTCCCAAAAAATCTTTTCAGTCTGCAGTTGGTTAAATCCACAGAATCATACAATCCACAGATGCACATGGCTGACTGTATACTATTTCCTGTGACCATAAATATACTCTTTAGTCCATTGGTAAAATTAGTACAGTTAACCATGCTGTGATGAGAAGTTCATCTTTGTCTTTTTCATTTAGATATTTATAACCTTAAATTTACTTTTAAAATAAAACTGCCTTAATTACAGTTAATCCTATTAGATTTTACTTAAATGAACACGTGGCAACTAACTTTTAAGCAGATCGAATTGATGACTGTGATTTTATTTTTTTACGTTACCAAATAGTGATAAAAAATACTTGTCTCTTTTACAGGTAATGCCCTTATTAAATGTGGAGAAGCTCAAAAACGAATTGGAAGTGCAGACAGAGAATTGATTCAAACGTCAGCCTTAAATTTTCTCACTCCTTTAAGAAACTTTATAGAAGGAGATTACAAAACAATTGCTGTGAGTTGGCAAATGTTCCTTTTTTTAGTAAAATAGTCTAAATATATACTTAACAGTGTTTAATAATTTTCCCTCTTAATGACTATGTAGATTTAGCAGTTTAGAAAACGTAAATGATCTAGGTAGGTGCATGTTCATTAGAACACAAAATGAAACCAAATTAAATGACTAATGATAACATTGCTTCAATTTTGTGTCCTACAGTGGTAGAAATGCCTTTACATCCATTCTCATTCATTACCAACATAAAGTTCATCAAGAGGTTCCTGGAATGATTATGAAAACCTGGTTCAAAATATCACCATAGAATAGCCATGTAGCTATTCATTTAAATTGGGAGCTAGAAACCTAATTATTGGAAGGTATACAGGCCAGTATGTCATGTCCTTATGTAGCCCTAGAATTGTATTATCTTCTTTTCATACACTTATGTCTTATTGCTGGAGTATAAAAAATAAATTACTTTCTCAAACCTAGTATTAGTCTATATTTTTAAATTTAACTTATTTTATTAGTGATAGAGATTGAAAATTTTTTTCTAAGATTTTTTCAAGGCCTCTTGCTGTTTATTATGAATACAACTTCAAACCTTAATTTGCCAATTTCTTATTACAAAATATTGTAGAAACTTTCTATAAGTTCACAGTGGATTTGTCTGTGTGCAAACAAGCATTTTCCTGGAGACAGAAGAAATTAACAACTTAAAATATAATTTAAAAATATACTAGCTTGGCTCAGCACCCGCAGCACAGTGGCTCGGCACCAGCCACATGCACCGATGGTGGCTGGTTCAAACCTGGTCCAGGCCAGCTAAATAACAATGACAATTGCAACACAAAAACATCCAGGCGTTATGGAGGGTGCCTGTAGTCCCAGCTATTTGGAAGGCTGAGGCAAGAGAGTCACTTAAGCCTAAGAGTTTGAGGTTGCTGTGAGCTGTGATGCCACAGCATTCTACTGAGGACAATATAGTGAGACTCTGTCTCAAAAAAAAAAAAAAAAAAAATACTAGCTTGTCAGTAAGATGAAATTTTAGGTATGAAATCTAAGAAGTAATAAAGCACACTCAGGTATAAACTTACTCTACAGAAGCTTGAAGTTTACATTAGGAATGCTAAGATACTATATTAACAATTATTCCTTATTCTATACATTTGGTGAAATTCCATTTTAGAGTAGTTGAGTTACATTTGGTGCTATGACACATTAAGAGCAGCCTGCCCAATTCTTGAGGTAGAGCACATAGGACATCATGGAACCTTGCCCTAAATTCATACTTCCTTCAGCATAGGCACTTTCTGGATAATCTGTGACAGTTTGAAACAGGGCATCTCAACTGGGCCTCTACTGATGTTTTGGGCTAAGTGCTTTATTGTGGGCACTATACTAGATGGTAGGATGTTTGGCAGCATCCCTGGCTTCAACCCAGTGGACACCAATAACATTCCTTCCCCCATTGTGACAACCAAAAAGATACTACCAAATGTTCCCTACAGTATAAAAATATTAAAACTAATATTCCTTTGTTCTGATCATCACCTGCCATATTTCCCAGACATGTAGACTATCTTAAATCATTTTAAAATTGAAAACAGCTGGGGGTTGGGGAGCGGTGGTCCAAGAAACCTGAATGGTCACTTAATAGCCAACTTTGTGATCATAGATGTTTATCAGATGACATGTATATTTATTTACTAAAAAATACTTTAAATGTATATGCTTATACTGGGTTTTAGTATCTTTAGCCTGTATTTTTCTCTTACGTATTTCTAGAAAGAAAGAAAGCTATTACAAAATAAGAGACTGGATTTGGATGCTGCAAAAACCAGACTAAAAAAGGCAAAAGCTGCAGAAACTAGAAATTCAGTAAGTAGTGTTTTTTTAATAGAAAAACATTTGAGATTAATAACTTCAAGATTTGTAAAATATTTTGCCAAATACCATGTAAGATACAGATTGTCCTTAAGACTGGAATATGACTTGAGGGTCTTGTCTTATGTTTTTAAACAAATTTATAAAACCATGTTATATCCAAATGAGCACAAAGTAGCCATATATATCCAGAGGGATATTCAGCTATACAGCTGTTGTGGTATCTCCTAAAGCTGTGTCACGTTCTTTAAATATCTTAAGTATGATAGCAAATATGTTTTGGAGATTTATTATATTTGGAAATAGCAAAAGAGATAGTAATTAAATGAGAACAAATCAAGTTTAAGGATGCTTGTATGGGTGTTAAAAATTGGATGAATTCCCTATTCACATAAAACTCAAACTGACTAAAGGAATGGTCACTAATTCTAAAACTACTCAAACAGTGGCAGCATGAACTTTTCAGGTGGCTATTGTGAATATCAAATTCACTTAATTTGAATAAATAAGTTCTGATATATGTTTTAGAAAATCAACCTCAGAATAGTCTTTTAAAATTGAATGGGTATGTATTACATACAATAATTCAGTTTTTCTTAAAAGATTCTATTTAAAGCTCTTTAGTAAATCTAGTAGTTACGCTGCCTATAGTTTCATTCTACCATTTGAAAAAAATTATCAGATTTGAATTTGGGACACATTTAAGAAAGCAGTATATAAACATGGATGAACTTGTTAGAGGAAGTTAATTCTTAGTTTGCATTAAAGCATGATGTTTCCACTGCCTTCTGTTTCCAACTCCCTGCCACTACCACCATTGAAAATCAGTGCCTTAAGGAGCATATTACCACAATGCTGGTAGAAGTCTTGTAGATCTTTTCCTTGGGGAAGACAGTTTGAGAATTCCCACACAAGGGTCCAACGTTTTGGTTTCTCAGTGCCACATTGGAAGAAGAAATGTTGTCTTGGGTCAAATATTAAATTCACAAACACTACCAAAAGCTAATGAGCCTTTAAAAAAAGGTCCATGCATAATTTTCATGAGGTCTGCCACCACAGATAAGCAAAAAAGTCCTTGTGTAATCCACGTGCAGCCCATGGGCTACAGATTGGATGCCCCTTGGTGAAGTTTAAAACTGATAACTTAGTATTGAATAGTGATGTGTTATGGGATGATCCAGTACCTTTTATGACCAGAATGAGTTTATTTTTTTCTCTAGGTTTACCTTTGTTAGAGATTCTCTATTAGCTACTGCTGGAGAAAAGTCTTCGATAAGATGTTAAATCAATTCCAAATTCACTTCACTTTCATTTTTACTTCAGTTTGTGATAATATCATCATAATCACGAACATAAATGTCACTATAAAGACCATCTGCAGAATCAAAACTTTGGAAATGAATACTATGGATGGCAAGAGACCCTAAATTAATTTTAGTTTCTTAGTTGCTAATAAGGAATTTTTATAGTAAAATATAAACTGATTTTTAAGATACTAATTTCATAATCAAGAAAAAGTTAAATGAAGATCATTTGGAAATAAAAATTTGAACTGGAACAGAATTTCTTTATTCAAAATGCCTACTTGTGCCCATCGATGATTGTGGAATAAGAATACTGTTGTCAAATTGCAGCACAAAACTTTAACAAGCCCTATTAAAGTAGTAATAGTCTGCTTTTCTACTGGATAAGCACAGAGAGCACATAGATTTAACAGCATACAAAGCCCTTTGATTATTCTAAATTATTTTACCACTGCTATTTAAATGGGTAAGAACTAAATATGATCATAGACCAATTTTGAGAGATGTTTTAATAAATCTAAAAAAGATGTTGGCAATTTTCTGTGCTGTGTGTTTTTGAAGACGTTTTTCATGGGAATTTGTTAAAAGTGAACGGTGATACAACTGACTTTTATTCAGCAATTTCATTTATGCACAGCTCTTCTAGAATTTATGTATTACATAAAATTTAACTGCAGTCAAATATTAAAAATCTTAGTTTAGACAAAATGGACAGTTCCTGGTTTAAGTTATATTCTTTCCTATAGATAACCAATTTACTTTTCTTCAAACTTTATAGCAGTAAGTCGGAAATAGTTTGGGAAAGAAGGGTCCTCTTATTTTATTACATAGAGCCTTTATTTGGTGATTCTTTTTCTCCCTATATTTCTCTTCCATTTACTTGAAGAATACAGAAGAATAGAAACCACTAGGAGTTTGAGTTTGCTTTTTAATTTTTTTTCTTTGACACATTTCCTGGTTCTTAGTTGGCCCCTGAAAAGGTTAATCTAACCCCAGACGTTCTTTGAATTTATTTCTTTATAAATTTATGTGTATTAATTGTATTGCAACTAGTTACTGTTCTAATAAGGTTTGGGACCTGTGCATTTCAGCAATTTTTTAAAAATTTACTTGCTAGTTTTTTTTTTTAATTCTGTATTTGTTGATTGCTAATTTTGTGCTAAGTACTCTCTTGAGGAGGACATCATAGACAAATAATGTAAAATCTCTACTGCTCTCCCTCAGCCTACAATCTAGTTATAGTAGTTTAAACTTTTTGATGACATAGCTGTATCAATAAAAAATTTCTTCCTGTAATCCAATATTGCTACTTTACTAATGTCTGTAGTATTATTTAACATGTTGAAGAATGGTAAAGTAACATCAAAGGCATTTCTCAAAAATATACCAACTAAGCAGAATAAAGAAAACCTACCTTAATGTTTCACAATGAACAAAAATATAGTTTTGAAAATAGTTTATATATTTGATAGAACTTAAGTCAGAGAAGCAAGAACATAATACAGGTTGAGTTATCCCCAATCTAGAAATCTGAAATGCTCCAAAATGTGAAATTTGGAGTCTATGTGATACTCAAAGGAGAGGCTCACTAGAGCTTTTTTTATTAGGATTTCTCAACCAGTAAATGTATAATTCAAATATCCTGAAAATCAAAAAAAAAAAAAAACTCTGAAATGCTTTTGGTCCAAGCATTTCAGATAAGGGATGCTCAATCTGTAATGGATTTAAATTATAACGCACCTATATTTACTAATCTTAGTCTAGTGTAAACTTCTTGTTAAATTATTAAGAGTTTTATTAACAAGAAGAAAAATATCAACTTAGTTTCAAATCTATCCAGTATTTAGAGGATTAGACTTCTGTTATTTTGTGGCATCCAAATTTGATAGAAAATATTTCAAGTGACATCATATAGCAAATATGTTCCTCTATCCACTTTAGTACTTTCACAACAGTCTAAATCTTTAATCTCTGAACTCAGTAAATTTATAGCACCATCACATAACCTTAGTTTAAATTCAAACGTGTATGTATAAAGTTTATTAGAAATGCAAGGATTGACATGCCTTTCATGTTTCTTCAGGATATGCCACAAGACCTTCTGAGGCTGATTGAGAGAGAACGTGATTGAAGGCATCATAAATTCATAAGATAGAAATGATCTTTGAATAGGAAAATTGTGGGTAGGCAGAAGAACTTTCATAGGTGAAAATCTAATAAGATTTTTAGGTAACTGGCAGTTTTTAAAGTGATATGTTTTCCCTAAACGATTCAAATTTAAAATCAAGCATCAACCATATTTTTGTTTAAAAATTTTTTTGATTTTTTTTTTTGTTAAAGTAAATAGTGACAACTATGTGAAATTTCATAGAACAATAAATAGTTGGGGTTTTTTGAAATAGAAAAATGTTATTGGCTTCTTTACTGCTTGTTTAGTGTGTTCTTTATTGTGCAGAAGTAACTTGTTTCACTGTGTTCATTGGTATAATGTGTTCTTTGTCTCTTACCTATGCACTTAAGCAACTAAACTCATCTCGCCCTGAAGGAGATAGCATTATGGTAAATTTCTCTTACATGCTCAACTTCCTGCATGTAAAATGGCTGAAGGTTTGTTGGCCTACTGTGTTTTCTACATCTTGAATAAAGTGCCTTCTCTTGCTATTAGCTGTGTATAAAATTCTAAAACAGTCGAAGCCATGCACTCATTATGTCTATCAAAAATACAAGTTAAAAACTACTAGCTGAAGTGATACTGGGACTTGAAGAAAAGAAATTGTGTGTTCTCATTGCCAAATAAATTGATTATGCTAAATACAGACTTTAAAATCTGAGTTTATACCTAATACATAGTGCCTTTTTGCACCAAGATGCTAATTTAAGCTGGCACTTCGTATTTTGGCAAAGAAAATTAACAAAATTTACTTTATTGAGAGAAAAGTATAAGGTAAATACGTTAACTTTGTTCCTCTGGAACTTCAGTATTTACCTTACTTCCTCCCAAACTCAACAATTTTTTCTGCCTTTCCAGGCTGAGACAACCCCATGGTATTCCTATGGTGGCCATGCCCATTCTCCATCTAGTGCTAACTCACTCAAGAAAGTTTCTGAATGGTGATAGTTCTGGGCAAGAATAAAGAATAAGAATTGTTTTATGTATAGTATCTAATGTATATATTTAGTTCAATTTGAGAAAATTTTTGTGACATTAGAAATTTTTAATTTTAGTAACAAAAAGTAAAATCTGAATGTATCCAATAAAATTTATAGATACAGTGTTTTGTATTGTATTCTTAGATACATAACTTTCATTAGAAGAATAAGGAATCTGTGGTACAATTAATAATAAATTGGCCAATTAATTGACTGCTTTTATTCCACGTATTGACTAAATGCAAGAAAATAATCTCTTAATGGGAAAATTATTGTACTGAATATGTAAAATGTGGGTTTTTTGTATTTTTTTTAACTATGATTACTGAAGCCATGGCAACATTATGGCTTTCTTTAAATAGCAAGAGAATGCATTCTTTTATTTCCATTGTCCTATCTTATAGGTAAATGAAAAGGGTGAGACTATCTCAGTCATTGCTAACTTAGTATGTAAATTATAAATTTTCTTTTGTCTTAGGTAAAAATATCCTAAACAATTAGCAGGACTTTGTTTCATTTATTAAACATTTGTTTTTACTACTATTGTCATCTACTTATATAATAAGATACATAACTCTAGTAATTTTAAATTTATTATATTTCCAGTTTGTTTCTCAAAAAAAAAGCTGTGTCAGCTTATGATGTATGTTAATTTCTGCTTTGCTTTCATTTCCTAAAACTCTAGAATTTATACCTAAATGAGGAATTAGAAGTGATTTAGTTCAAATATCTAATTTTACATATGAGAAAACTGGAACTAAAAGGTTAGATATTCCCAACTTGGGAAAAATGTTATAAAGTTATAGAATTAGCATAAGACTTAAAAGTTGATAATATTGACACATATAAAAGGCATACTTTTACAGTACATTAAGCTGTACTGATTTAGTTACTACTGTGTTTAGTAACATAATAGTGAAAAAGGAAAGTATATCGTTTGAATTAAAATATTTACATTTTTCTATACTAAGTTGTAGAAAATGTTAAATTCCAACTTTCTTTCATGCTCTATATTTTTCTCTAATTTTTAATGCTGGCTAGATTTGGGCAGAGGAAGTGACAAAAGTAAGTAAATTATTAAACTACAGAATTATGAAACAAGAATTTAATTGTCATTCATTCATTTAAATATTTATTGGGTATAGTTACAGTTTGTTACTATATCTTACAAGATCTGAAAATTACAAAAATGCTCGAGTCTGTCTAGCCAATAACTTCCCCAAGCTGTAGAGCATTACTACAGAGATGTAGTTTGTATATACCCTAATAAATGTTAGATACCTTTTATAAGGGTGGGAATCTGAAAATGCCTTCCTAGAAGACAGTTGAAATACTTAATTTGTTCTTTTTTTTTTTGAGACAGTCTCAACTATGTCACCCTAGGTAGAGTGCTGTGGCGTCACAGCTCACAGCAACCTCAAACTCTGGGCTTAAGCGATTCTCTTGCCTCAGCCTCCCAAGTAGCTGGGACTACAGGCACCAGCTGCAACGCCTGGCTATTTTTTTTGTGGTTGTTGCAGTTATCATTGTTTTAGCTGGCCCAGGCCGGGTTTGAACCTGCCAGCCTCAGTGTGTGTGGCCGGCACCCTATCCACTGAGCTACGGGCACCGTCACTTAATTTAGTCTTTGATAGCTGTATTTTAAAGGACTTTTTTAAATGTATAGTTGATACCATGTCCTGTATCTTCAGACAGTTGGATGAATATCACACATTTTTTATGTAACTGAAGCTTGTTCTCTGTAGCACCAAAGTTAATTTTTCTTAGTAATGTTAGTTGAAAATACCAAAATATGTACCTGACTCCTGCATTAAATACAGGGTAGCAGATATTTAATTTTATTTACAGTTAAGGTCATTAATATTCATGATTGCACTGTGTAACAGTTGGCTCTGTTGTTCTTCAAGTATGTTGTCTCCTCCCTCAGTGTCAGACTGTCCATATGACTACTTCTAGCAGTCCCTCTGCCTTTGTGACCATTTCTAGTGTTCTCTGAGCTGGGAAATCAAGTGATTAAGCAAAAATTTAAGGAACAAAATTGTGATTTTAGTGAAGACTTGTTTCAAATGCTATATTAAAGTCTTCAGCAGCATTTTTCAATTAGTTCTCATGTTCAGTCCTACCAAAATCTGACCTCCAGATAAGGATAATGGTGGGAATTGAGGAAAGGTGATAATTGTGGCCTCTGACTGTTAGTAGTTTTATAAACCTTAACTTTTATTTTCTCACTTTGTAGGACTGCTCAGTGTACAATCTGTTTTAGGTATAGGTTATGGAGCTTTGGATTCTATGACCTGGAAATCCAATACAAAATTCTCAACTTACATTCTTAGAGGTTCCTTTGTAGAATCTATTCATGAAATTTGTTTTGGTTCAATCCTGGCTGCTGATTTCTTCCTAAACCTTTAAGGTATCCCAAAAGTAACCCCTAAAGTTGCCATATGTAGGGAAAATGGGAAGTTATAGTTAAACGTATCTTTATTTACAAAAATATTCATTATAAAATTTTACTAAGAGGTGACCAACACATAGAGAATATTTTATAAATACTGTATTTTGTAAAATTTTATAATGTTTTTGTAAATAAAGGTACATTTAGCTACAACTTCCCATTTTCCCTATGCATTGCAACTTTAGGGGTGGCTTGGGACGTCCTGTAGAAGAGAATGTAGGTAAAATAAGAAAACCAGAGCGTCTTCCCCTTTGATTGGTATACAGGTCCGCCAGAAAATCTGACTTGGTTTTCGCAGTCTCAACAAGTTTAGGAGCTAGTTGATACAATAAATGTAAAGAAACTCATGAAACATGTTTATATTATATATGTGTGTGTTAAAACTTAAGTACATTAAAATGGATTTGGGGGTATCCTTCCTCATTTCTGTCATTTTTCTAATTTAAAAATATGTATATTTTAAAACTTAATATTCCTGGAATACTTTCATATTTTAAGCCTATAAGAAAAGTAGATAACACCAACCAAGATTGTCTGAGGAAATGCTTTCTAACATGACAATTTTTTTTTTTTATAAATACACTGTCCTGGTAATAGAGGCCAGATTCTTTCCCATTTTCCAGTTACATCTTAAAAGAACTCTTCTTGCTACCTAACCCATGTGATGCTATCATATAATCTAGATCAATTAGTCTAATAACAGTAATTTTAGCAGTAGAACTTTCCCCCAAAAATTCAATATCTTAATTATAAAATTAAGTCAGGGAATAGGTCTTCCAGAGGAAAAAAATCTCAGCCCTTTAAATTTATTGCCGTCTTTAAAATTTCTTAACTATCTTTGTTCTATGGATTGTTTTCCCAAGTAAACTGATTATACTGAATCTTAGTTCAATTTCCTTAGCAGCTCAGATTATTATGATCAATTAATTATATGTGTCAGAAGGACAGACATTTGACTGTTTGAAGCCACCTCAGAAATACACTAAAACTTAAGAAATGAGATTTGCTCTTACATTTTACATTTTTAAATATAAAATCTATATTATACAGAAAAATGACTTCCTAAATTTTGTAACATGGTGCCTTTCTTCATAATTACATATTAAATTTTGCTCAAACTTAGAAGACTGAACCTTAACCTTAATGAGATCATTTATTATTTTTTTATTCAGTATACTTAGCATTAGAACATTATTTCCACTTTAGTCTCAAACTTCCTGGCACCTTAATCTGCAACGTAGCTTTCTTGCTTACGTCTTATACAGAAATAGTACCATTCATTAGCTTTTCTGCCATTTCTACTAAAAGTCATTAAATTGTATTTTCACATTCAAAGACTTGCTTGGATCTAGCCTGGTTTACTTATGAAATTCATTTATTTTTGATTTGCTGTAGTTACTCCTATTAATCAGAGCTTTTTGTGCTCAACAAAGCAGAACAGTAAATAGTGCAAAGGTAACATTAAAGAGGTTTGGTTTTCCATAATGCCTTCCTGAGGAAGAACATTGATTCTTTTCTTCTCTCAGGACTTTTTTTGAGCTTCATACTAGTTTCTAGATGAAGTTTACTTTAGGCCTACTATCAAAACACCATCTTTTCTAGGTTTTTATTTTTCTTCAGAGTAGTATGGGGTTACAGATAAACATTTTTGGTTACATAGATCACTTTAATAATCCTTGAGTTATGGTTCTAAGGCTACCCATCATCCAGATGGTATTCAGTGTACCCATTAGATAGATTTTCACCCATCCTCTTCTTCCCTCCTCCCTTAGTTGATTTCCATTGAGTTTTACTTCCCTCTATGCACATGTGGCTCATTGGTTAGTTTCAATTTAATAATGAATACGTGTGGTATTTGGTGTTCATCCTTTAGGTAATTCACTTAGGATAATGGGTTCCAGTTCCATCCAGATTATTGCAAAAAGCATTAAGTCATCCTTCATGGTTGAGTAGTAGTCCATCATGTATATACTCCACATTTTGTTAATCCATTCATGAGCACTTGAGTTAATTCTGTATCTTTGCAATTGTGAAGTGTGCCACTGTAAACATTCAAGGGTGGGTGTCTTTTATCTATCTTGAATTAATTGTGATTAGTAAGAGACACGGATAGATACAGATCCTGTTTTATTCTTCTGCATGTGGCTGTCTGATTTTCCTAAGATTCTTTCTCCCATGTATGTGGTCTGCTTTGTCAGAGATCACTCAGCTGTATGTGGATGTTTTCTATCTGAATTTTCTGTTCTGTACCATTGGTCTATGTCTCTATTTTTGTGGCCTAGAATATTAATCCTGGAGAACGTTCTATATGCTGATAAAAAATACATTCAGTAGTGGGGGTATGTTCTGTAAATGTCTCTTAGGCCCATTTGTTCTAGGGTTCCATTCATGTCCATTGTTTATTTTCTGCTTGGATGATCTGTCCAGTTCTGTCAGTGAGGTGTTGAAGTCTCCAGCTATTATGATGCTGCTGTTTATCTCTTTACTTAGCTCTAGCAGGTTTTGCTTTATGAATCTCAGCACTCCTGAGTTAGGTACATAAATATTTAGGATTGTTATGTCTTCTTGTTGAATTATTCCCTTTACCATTATATAATGATCATCATTGTCTCTCTTTACTACTGTAGATTTAAAGTCAATTTTATCTTTCGTGAGACTGGCTACACATTCATTCTCTCTCTCTCTCTCTCTCTCTCTCTCTTTTGGCTGAGAAGTCAGCAGACTATTGCTATGAGGGACAGGGCTCAGGGGCTCTTGGTGTGGTGTGTAGCACTTCCTCCTCTCACCGGCTTCTAGCTGCACAGGATGGTGCTGGCCCTACAGATGGCAGCCTTTAGCAGGTCCAGCAGCCACAGGCAGGTCCTGCCTGATACCACTGAGGGTAGCCCTGGCATTGTTGATAGTGGTCTACACTAGGAGGTGGCAGGCTTCTGCTGTTAGGATCTCTACTTCAGGACCACCACAGCCCATTTGCCATCAGTGGCGGCTCAAAGTCCACAGTTTTGTGGTGAATCAGCCCATTGTAGCAGAAGGAGTTGCAGGCCTTGGGATTATTGGGCTCAGTGCTGTACACCACCAGCACTGCAGGTATGCGGACACAGCAGCAGCTTCCTTCGAAGCTGTGTCAGGAGACAGAAAGAGCTACACACACTTTTTTTTGGTTTCCACTTGGATGGAATATTTTTTTTCCATCCCTTAACCTTGAGTCTGTAAGATTCTTTGTGGGTTAGATGTTTTTGTGGAAACAGTAGATACTTGTATGTCTTTGTCCATTCAGCCAGCCTGTGTCTCTTAAGTGGGGATTTCAAACCATTCACACGATTGATAGAATTGATATATGGATGCTTTTCGTTCATCCTATTGTTAGTACTTTGCTTTGTTTTACCTCTTGTACTGTTGGTTTTTTTTTTTTTTGAGGGAGCCTCAAGCTATCCCCCCTGGGTAGAGTGCCATGGCATCATGCTCACAGCAACCTCCAACTCCTGGGCTCAAGTGAGTCTCCTGCCTCAGCCTCCCAAGTAGCTGGGACTACAGGCGCCCGCCACAGCGCCGGCCATTTTTTTTTGGTTGCAGCCATCACTGTTGTTTGGCGGGCCTGGGCTGGGGATTCGAACCCTCCACCTTAGGTGTATGTGGCTGGCGCCTTAGCCGCTTGAGCCACAGGCGCCGAGCCTATACTGTTGGTTTATATGAGATGTGAGCTTTAGCTTTTGAGTGCTTTTACACTGGTGAGTGACCACTGTGCTGATCCATGTATAATATAGTTCTGAGTATTTCCTACAGGGCAGGTCTGGTCTTGACAAATTCTCTCGGTGTTTGCTTCTCTGGAAAAGTCTTTGTTTCTCCTTTATTTATGAAACTCAGTTTTGCAGGATACAAAATTCTAGGTTGGCAGTTTTTTTGTTGAAGACAAGTGAAAATAGGGCCACAATCCCTTCTGGTTTGTAAAGTCTCCGTTGAGAAGTCTGCAGCTAACCTGATAGATTTTCCTTTGTACGTTGCTTGTTGTTTTTACCTTGCAGTTGGCAGGAGTTCCTTCTGGTTGACTGTGTACAGTCTGGTGATTATGTGTCTTGGTGGTTGCCTCTTTTCAATGAATCTCCCAGGTGTTTGTTGAGCTTCTTGTTACCTGGATGGCTAAATCTCTAGCAAGACCAAGAAAGTTTTCTTCAATTATTCCTTCAGATAGGTTTTCCAGCTGTTGTGTGTTTTCTTCTTCACCTTCGGGGATGCCAATGATTCTTATATTTGGCTGTTTTACATAATTACGTTTTTTCTGTAGGCTGCATTTATTCCTCTTCATTCTTTGTTATTTATTTTTGACTGAGTAGCTTAATTCCAGAGTTGTCTTCAAGCCCTGAAATTCTTTCTTCTGCCTGGTCTAGTCTATTCTTAAAGCTTTCCACAGTGGTTTGTATTTCCTTAAATGAATTTTTTATTTACAAAAGTTCTGGGTTTTTTTTAATATGTCTGTCTCTTTAGTAAATTTTTCATTCATTTCCTGAATTGTTTTTCTGGTTTCTTTGAGTTGGTTTTCCATTTTCCTTTGGATTTCAGTGAGTTTCCTTGCCATCCATATTTGGAATTATTTTATCTCTCATTTCAATGTTTTCATTTTGGTTAGAGAGCCGATATTCCCTTTTGGGGAGTCCTTTTGTTATGATTTTTAATACTTTCAGGGTTCTTTTGTGGATTCCTTCTCATCAGCTGTTGCTTCTTATTTTTGGATTTTCTTTTGTTTACACAAGATGGGACTTCGCACACAAACGTGTGTTTGTAGCATATGCTAGATAAGAACCTTTGGCTTTGTGGATGCTTTCATGGCAATCTAGGTTCTGGATAGCTGCCTTGATTCTAAATATCCTTAGTGTAGTGCTTTTCTCACTGTTATTATTTGTAGGCCATAGAAGAGCTGTGCTAAGTGTGTAGGCAGATTCCCTGTCTCTCTTTGATGAGAGAAGATGGACGTCTTAGAAATCCTTTTTCTTTTTCCCAGCCCTGTGGTCTTCTTAGCAATGTGAATTGTATCCCAAGAAGTGGTTCTGAATAGGAAACCATGGAGGTGGTAGGCAAGAGCTTGGAATTAAGACAGGGAATTATTGCATGTATACGCTCTGCAAGCCTATAAATCCTTCCCAGGCATGTTATATCAACTGTGGGGTCCAGCAGGTGGCTAAGCAGGGGCTGCATGACCCAGCTGGCAGCCCCTGCAGTAGAAGCAGCTGCACTGTGGGCTCACGAGTCCCCAGCACTGGTGGCAACTCACTGCTGTTGCTCCCTATTCTGGTATTAGTCAAGTAAATTTAATTTCAATTCTTGACTTACTGAGCAATTCAAGCTTATTTCCATAAATCCAGTCTAGGAATCATTTCCTAGTTCCTTCTGCCAGATTTCTTGCCTGTGGGATATGACAGCAACTGATGATGTACTTTGCTGCTCCTTCCTTGTTGACTGGCTCACTAGGTTAACTATTGCTACCAAATGGTGAAAAAGAAGCTCAGACCTTGTTTATACACTTAGTGTATTTTGGAAACATTGTAAATAATTTGCATGGGGGGAAAGCTATTCAAGCTAGAGAAGTAGTAAAATATCATTATAATGACATTGTCACCAATGATGATTCCCTGTGGGGGAATAAGCTGATTACTTTGGGATGTGAGGTTCTATTTTCTTCTCCCCACTTATTACCAACCAACTCTGGCTTAAGGGTTCAGATGATTTTTGCCAATATTTCCTGTTTTTAGGTCTTATTAATTTTTCAGTAAACTGTTGTCTCAGCACTAAGCCCAAATCAGGTGGTATATTATCCCTTCCCAACTCCAAAGTCCATGATTTCACCTTGATAACTTAGCAGCCATGATGGGAGTCTTATACCACAAAAGTCTGGAAGTGAGACTTTTTTTGTTGGAAAATAGTTTACCAAGACACCACTGATTGAAGGTCAGCCACAACTTACAGAAGAACTTTTTAAAACCCTAAATAATTCTGCTCATGGTATATATTATGCATAGTTCAGAAAGGAAATTTTAAAGAAAGATATTCAGAATGTTGGACAAGGAATCCTTCAAAGGGACCTAGGAACTCTTAACTCCCTACCAACAAGTGTTTGGTGACTAAACAGAATAGATAAAAGTCCTGTGGCTTGCATTTGAGATTAAAGGCTATCTTTAACTTCAAAGTAAAAAAAACAACAGTAATGAGAGTGTTTTGCATTAATATTATTTTATACTTGCTAAATTGTAGTAATCTTAAAATTTTGTAAAATGTTAAAATTTACCAAAATTGATAGTAGAAAATATATGAAAATATGTTAACAGTCCCATAGTTTTTCTAGGCTCTTTTGAATACATCATTAAGCTTTGGTATTAATGTTAACAGAGTCTCTTAAGAAATCTGTTCTCTTGAGATTGAGTAGTATAGAAAAGCTAAAGTGTAGAAACCAGGAACCAATTTAGGTATAAGCAAAACCAGGGAATTGCCAAATTGTAAATTGGGCTTTGTTTGGAGAATTTTTTAACTGTCTAAACAAATGTAAGTAAGATAGACTGAGTCTTCTAATGAGATTCTAAAACTGTGTTCTAATTTAAGTCTGAACAGGAATTAAGAATAAGTCAAAGTGAATTTGATCGCCAAGCAGAGATTACCAGGCTTCTGCTAGAGGGAATTAGCAGTACACACGTAAGTGCTCATTTATTGGAAATTCATTTAAAACAAAAGTCCTAAGGCAATTTGGGGAGGAAAAACTTAACTTACTTTTTTCAGTTATATATCAAGAAAATGTAACTTGTGTCATTATCCAAGATATGTAAAGAAATATTTGAAATTTTTGTTACACTTCATCACCTATTTCTCCATCCTTATCATATCCATTTGTTGGTGTTTACTGGCTGAGCAGTTTGTTACTATGCTGAGATCAATCTTAAGCCTTGTAGTAAGATGCTAATACTGGTCATTCTCCTGCAGTACAGTGTTGTGCTGTCTCCCCTTTGCATTTGCCACTTCAAGCAGATTGATTACAGAGCTAAAAACTGACCGTAACTTTCTTTCACAGGCCCATCACCTTCGCTGTCTGCATGACTTTGTAGAAGCCCAGATGACTTACTATGCCCAATGTTACCAATACATGTTAGACCTCCAGAAACAACTGGGAAGGTGATAATTTACTTTTCACATATAATACTCTTGAAAAGAAAAATTGCTCTGCTTTTTGTGTGTGAACTAATAGTAGGTATGAAGATTAGAATTAAAAGCTTTTTAGAATTAGATTTAATTTTCTTCTTTAGGAAAGTAATTGTCAGACTTTTGAAGTCATAAAACATTTGGCACTCTCTGGCATAGAAGGATTTTAACAGAGATGATAATTTAAGTGAATATACCTGTTTAATGTTCCATAAAGTGTTTGAGTTCACTTTTCTCTTGCTGCAGAATACTTTTTGCTATTGGTTAAAGAAAATACAGTTGCATTGACACTTAGGTTTTCTGAAAGATAAGCTAATTTGTTCTTATTCATCATAATGTTGAAATATTGAACTTTTTGAACAATATTGAACTTTTGAATATTGAAAGTTCGATATTATCAACTTTTTTCTGAAAAAATATTTTGGAATATTCTATAACCCTCACATCTGGATGTAGACTTCACATCAGCTAATCTATGTTTGAGTCTGACAATATACATTAAGGCAAAATGATAGTATGTAAGGCACATAGCTCAATTATTTATTTATCAATTATTTGTTGACTCCCTGCAGTGTGCCAAACACCTTTTTATATTCCCGGGTTATACTAGTAAACAAAACAGGGAGAAAGATTTGCCTTTCTGGAGCTGACACTGTAAGGTGCCACTAGAAATAAGATTATGTACACCAAGCACATATGGTCTCTGTTCTCACAGCACTTAGTCTAGGTGTAAATACTAGCCATTGGTGGATAGACCATGGGAGTGGGAAGATAAAAGTACAGAGTATTTGTGACTTAGCTACGTCTAACAAAGTTTTGCCAGATGAAATTATTTAAGTAGGAATAATCTAGATGAAGAAAGAACACAGCTGAACATTTTCCAAGCAAAGGAAGAACACGTATATAAAAAACCTCAAGGAAAGCGAGAGTAGTATGGCGAGTTCAGGGGACTGACAGTGTTTCATTCTTGTTAGAGCATAGTGTTCGCATTAAGAGTAGAATGGTAGCTGAGTCTAGAGAAGCTAGCAGGCTCATACCATGTGTGGCCTTTAAGTTGTGGTAGGGAGCTTGGGAGACCATTAAAGCAAGGGAGCAATATGTGACATTTGAAGGTGGAAGATTTAGACAAATTGTTTAAAGAAATAAGGTAAAAAGGCTCAACGCCTGTAGCACAGTGGTTATAGTGCCAGCCACATACACTGAGGGTGGCAGGTTCAAACCCTGCCTGGGCCAGCTAAACAACAATGACATCTGCAACAATAAATAGCCAGGCATTTTGGCAGGCACCTATAGTCCCAGCTACTTGGGAAGCTGAGGCAAGAGAATCACTTAAGCCCAAGAGTTGGAGGTTGCTGTGAGCTGTGATGCCACTATAGTAAAACTCTGTCTCAAGGAAAAAAAAAAAGGTATAGCCGGGCGTTGTGGCGGGCGCCTGTGGTCCCAGCTACTTGGGAGGCGGAGGCAGGAGACTCGCTTAAGCCCAGGAGTTGGAGGTTGCTGTGA